CGCGCCACACACTCACAGATTCCTCAAGACTACCCTTTTCATGACCTATATCTTGTCATGTAAGCTTGCACTGACGACCCTGCCTCGAAGAGCTTTTCAAAAGCTAGTTCCCGCCTTCGGAGAATGCGTTGATGCCTGCCAATTGCGTTGGTGTAGACGTTCTCCCAGTAGCGCTCCTCGTACCGTCGCCGCTTCTGGCGCTTGGACAATGGTGGCCTGGGATATCAAACTTCACATATGGTCATTTAGTTTCTCTCGGCCAAGATACCGTTGACCAACTTCACAGGTCAAGCGGTTGACAATCGTCTTCATAAAGTAATCACCTTAAATAAGAATGTGGGCGGCTCACAGAAAGTGTTAAGCCACCACTGCAATTTGAATTGGACCCAGATACTCCACATAGCAGCATTCTTTTGGAAGTCAGCTGTTTGTGGAACTGGCGTCATGAGAGTGAATCGGGAAAGCACCAGGTATCTGCTGGTTACAAAGGCTAAGGACACACAGCAAGCAAGAAACTGGAGAAGGATGTAGTTACGCCCGCCTTGGCATGTTATACCTTCATCAGTTCCGGGCCTTGGCCGCAATGCAGCAAGCTCGACAAAATCACAAATCGTTGAGCATTATAAAAACCTTAGGCTGCAGCCGACCAGTATCATTTCTTGACTGCGCTGGAGCCTCGGGTCGACAGCAGCAGTATGTGAACAAGGCGAACAAAGCTGCCGCTTGCTTTTCAGCCTCTGCATGTGGTTCATGTAGTGGAGCCGCTCGCTGCCCCCTTACAAGAATTTTAATTCAATTGCAAATCTCAACAGCTATATGTCCAAGCCTGAATCGGAAGTACCACTGCTTCCGCGAAATTCTTTTCCAGTTGGGAAGCTCCAGCCCCACTGGAAATGAAGTCGTGCTGCGACACCGCCTCGCAATCTTACACGCAAGGGCATCACCTGCAGGCTACCATGTGCATCTACGGTATCGACATGAGACACCTGTGGCATGTGAGCGTACTACCTTGTATTTCACAAGCGAGTCACACCACAATGGGCAAGAAATCAGCTTCACATTTGACTCCTTGACTTTGCACCCACCAGTGGCAACTTGCTTCAATCCAAATCCAGAATTGCGCCCTTGGCAGGTATCATTGCAAACTCACGCAAATTCAAACCAATTCCGCTGTTTTCCGGCCAAGGCACATTGAATGGTTTCATAGCAACTGGCATGGCATACGTGAGTAAGACGACGGATGATTCCCTGCATAAAGTAGTCGCCTTGTTCACTCGCAGTGGGCAAATCAACTATGCTTTAGATATTGCACACTGAAAAGGCAAGGCAAGGAGCAGTTGGAGCGTGTTGCCAAATCTGCTTGGTCGCAACAGCGCCCGATGATAGACGCCATGAAACAATCGCCTTGTATAAAAAATCTGTGTTGACATGCGCTAGGTTGGTGCTAGGATGTGATCACCAAGTGCTTCAAGACACACCATCCTCCATCATATTCTTCCAGGTATCCCCGAGATACAAAAGGCCAAAGCAATCCTGCGCAAGCCATTCTGCAGCTTCACATCTTTTATTCCTCGAAACCATGTAAACTTCTCCTGGCTTCGACCACCCAGAATCAGTGTCAGTGAAAGGGCCTGTCGCAACAAAATCGGGTTGGCAAATTCGTTCCTTTTCATTGATAATGCGAAATCAAAGGCCTGAAGGCATAGCAAAATCATCAGACCACTTACAACCTGTGCAACATGTTTGTGCTTCAGTGCAGTACAAAAAGTTAGAACAATTTTAAACTAAATGCCAATTCTGTCGGCGCACACCATACTCCATTATATTCGTCCAGATCCAGGCGAAACAGAGAAGGCAAGAGCAGTCCTAGGCAAGAATCAATGTACAGCATCACCCGTATAGTTTAAATGCGTTGCACTTCGCCTTGCCGCAGCCAATCGCAATCAACATCAGTGAAAGGGCCTGCCACAGCAAAGTGAAAGTCAACTTGTTAGATATGCTCCGTCGCTTGATACATGGCAAAACCCCAGGCCGGGCCTGAAAGCGAACCAAAATCATCGGACCTCTTACAACCTGTCCAGTGTCCAGCCGATGCACTTACAGTGGCAGATTTCAGACCTATCGGGTGAAGATCACTGCTAACAAGAAGCACTGACAGCTGAACCAGTTCACGAAGAAGCGGCCAAGAGCAATTTCGCCCGAACTGTGAGCGCGTTCACCAATAGGGTCAAAGATTGAGGCCACACCTTAGGAGGATGCGCAAAGAGCAAGGCAATTTTGTATGTCATACATACTTAAAAAGATATTTTTAGCCAAGTCTCTCGTCTTGCATGATGAACCGTTCAAACACCCTTCCGCCATGGGCCCCACGCGATGCAAAACGAGCAAATGACCAGATCGAGCGGGCAAACGAGCCAGAATGCGCTGCGCGAGACATATTAATAGTTAAGTTCAACCCGTGCGCTTTAATTACAGTGTCACTAAGGCCCTGCTCGAATCAGCCTTCACTGCTTACATATTTGCATGCTGTTTAAAGTCCAGCATTTACATCATCAGTGTTCCGGAGTTTGGCGATTGCATACTTCTAGAATCCAATGATTTTCGACTTGCATCTCATATAGATGAAATAGAGCCATCGCCTGACCCAATTGTCCACCGCGCCCGTCTAGCCATGTGCGCTTCTTTTTCTACGTGACAGAGTTATGGTTTAGCAGCTCCTCATCATACCTGGCGCTCCACTACCCGATTGCTCCGCCCCCACGCACTCCGTTGCCCACACTCTCCGCTCACCACACCTCCGCTCCCCACATGCTCCGCTCCCCACATGCTCCGCTCCCCACACGCTCCGCTCCCACGCGCTCCGCTCCCACGCGCTCCGCTCCCACGCGCTCCGCTCCCCACGCGCTCCGCTCCCCACACGCTCCCTTGCATCCTGGCTCCTTAGGCGTGGGCATTCTCTCTACCTTAACTCCGTTTGCAGCGTGCTAGCTCCGCTTTACCAAACTCACTTGCTCTGGTGAACATATAATTTCTATCTGAATAATTCTTAACCAATGAAGTCAAGGCTAGCTGCTCTAATTCTCCTACTGGCTCAGACTCTACAAAGTATGGCACTGGCGGCCAAACAAACGCTCCATGTCATCCAACTTGAGCCAAGTAAGGGACATAGCTGAAAAACACTTATAGTAAACATTGAAAAGGCAAAGTTACATTATCCCTTTGAAGAACCTTACAATCTATTTTGTTGGCTCCGAAAGACGCTGCATAGTGGGTAGTAAATCCGCCGTAGTAGTACTTTCATATTCACCACTGGACCTATCATCACAAGGAGAACTTATCTTCACAGCCTCAACCTTTGACTGTAGTAGCTTAATGTGAAAAATACCGAATCCAAATCCAAAGTGTGCATTGGCGCGGTTGATACCTCTAAGGAAGATCTTTACTGAGGACTGACAAAAAAAAGCCATGGCATCCCTTTAGACGGATAACGTAAGTAAAAAACAGTGTTTGGACTTATCACTTTCATTTCCAGTGCTCCTCCAGAATGTCAGCTCGTGCAAAGAACATCACACTGCCACTCCAGGCGATGCGATAGCAAGCAAATCCAACATTACAATGTCACACTGAGCACAGCTAACAAAATAGGCTTAAAAAAAACATCACCCTGTCACACCGGGCGGCGCGAGCAAGCAAAAAGAGAACACAC